TCAAAAATTGTTCTTAGTTTTGAAATCTATAAAACAGATAAACAAATTTAAAAAATTGTTTTTCCTTGTCGGCTTAATTATGACTCACCTTATGTTTTTTTTTGACTGTCATGTTTTTATTTTAATCTGATTTTGTACTCTTTAGATATAACAGGATAAATAGATCTCTTCAATTGTATAACGGATATTTATGTAAACGCAATTTAAGCTATATAGCTTCTTTTGTTTGTTTTATAAAAATTATAAATACTCTCTCGAATCACATGAAAACTTATGTTTACCACAAAATTGATATGTAAACAGTAGTGATGCGACGCGATCATAGAAAGCTCGGAAATTAAATAGCCGCTCATATCCGGCGACTGGCGATGCAGCAGACGACAGACAGCACTACATACATCTGATTTCACTTGTATTACGAGAAAACTGTATAGAAAAATAACTTCTTGGATACTCCTTGTAAATACTTGTATACAGAATAATAACAAGAGTACTTTATACTAATAAACTCGACTGTATGAAGTACAGTACTCTTACAGCGACAAGCTGTTAATCAAAGGTCAGTATTGTCATTTGAACGACATATAATATATGATTTTTTTTTATTTATTAAAAATAGCTTTATGCACTTCTTCTGCACACTAACTTAGGATGTGTCAAATTTTTAATATTAATTTTATTGAGTTTATCTGTTCGCGCGTTTTTGCTTCCTTTATTAATGTTATAATGATGATTGTTAAAAATTGAAATGAACTATAACAGTAATATTTTTTATTTTATTTCTCTCTGAATATTTATGTCCGTCATAAATGCATCGTACCGATTAATTATTGTGTCTTATCTTAAGATATGATTAACCTACTGCTTACATACAATATCTGTCCCGCGGTCACGCTCGCCGCGCGTGCTTCGCGGATCAGCTGTGTCACGCAATCACACAAAATGTATAATACATTTTTGTACAATTAATTATCCATATCCAGAAATGATTGATAAGGTTATTTATATACATACAAAAAATCCAATGATACCAATTTATTTTTTAATTGAACAGAAAATTATTTAATTTACATAATCGATTTATCTTGATAATAGAGTACCTAATCTAATTTCCGGCTTACAGGTTAATCCTAATTACATTGCACTGACAGCTGTCAAAATGAGCTTATTGGCAATTATGTAAGTTGTTATTGTGTAACCCTTTACATCTCAACAATCTGCATCTCGAAGTGAATAATGATGGGATAAGATTAATAATTATAATATTAAATTAGATTGTTTTTTTTTAAGTTGTCCAATTTGTTTTTTTCACGTAACGTGACTGTAACAATTAGGTTTAAGGGATTGAGATAGGAGCAGGTGTAGTCGAGTAGTCGGACCCTATTATACGTAATGACGATGAGTAAACATTTTAGAGAAAAGTGCTCCTGTTAGTGTATCCGAGCCAATTAGAAGTGTTAGGGAGGTGGCGAGCGCCCCTCGCCCCTAGCCCCGCGCACCGCCCCCCGGGCTCCAATTAAACTCGCGCTCGCTACAGACGATGTACTATCACCACCGGAACCCACCTAAACGTTATTGTGCAAGCCACTTCTAAATAAACCTCCATTTTTTACATTGCCGCGTATAACAATGGAATCATGTCAGACGATGCGAGAACCCCCCTCCCCTCCCTTGCCGTTCGTTCTCTGAAACTATTGAGTTGTTAATTAAATTCACGCAAATTTATTGCCCCCTCCAAAGCGAGATATTCTCGCCGCTATCGCTACGGAATAGAGGCCAATTTTCTATAAAGCAGTCATAGTTATCTGAATCAATGTTACTTGTTGTTTAATTACAACAATAGTGGCCCCTAATGAGAGTTTGCGCTAATAAGCGCTGCAGAATGTAATCAACGTGCCTCGTTGGTCTAATGAGGCGAGTTCCAGGCAAAAACTAGCAAAGTCGACGTTTTACTGAAGATTAATTAGGTGTTCTGCCTATAAAGAGACTGTACCGGAAAGCTTGCTTCTGACTCGACATGGATTAACATATTTCTTATATGGCGCTCGCAGGAAAAAAACATTCCCTAAGCGAACGTCATGTACAGCTCGCCGCTCGCGACTTGAGAATCGAGCGGTCGGGCGCCAACGATCCTCATTCAAACAACTCCTATTGACAACGGGCCACGCGGACTTGTAAGCGTCGTTAACTTAAATAAGCACGTTTGATTACGTCGTAGCTAGCTACCCCATTAAAACTTAACGAGGGCCAACCCCGGGGAAAATAACTAACCCAATTTCCCTTTGCCGGGGAAATCATTAAAAGTCTTAAAAGGGTCTTTTCATATATTTTTTAACCCGGGGCGTACGTGCAAATAAACACATTTTTACATACTCGAACAAACAATTCTCGTAACGAGGCGGGAGGGTAACGAGCGGAGGTGTCCGGCGCTCGCCGCCGCCTAGCCGCGCCGCGCTAATTGGAAGGATATGCCCGGAAATGTGTCTCGTTACGTAGCCCGCCCGCCCGGGCCTTCCCGGCTTGCCCCGGCTCACCGCCGACACCTCTGATTTATTGCGGCCTATACATTCAAATTGACAGCTTCGAAACGCGCAGCGAAACGATATCACGAACTAATGCGACCTAATGCCGACCGTGCGATAAACAAAAGCCTCCTTGCGGCAGCGAAATCCGTGCTTCGTGCGCACCGCCGTTGCTGACCTTTACTTTCGTGAAAACAGTTATCAGTGCAACATTCGTGCAAACAATTACAGTTATAGCAAATATATACATAAAGCTATGAGATAATAGTATTAGTGTCGTTTTTCCTATAATAATAATCAGCACTAAATTAAACCTTAATATTAATCTAAATTCTACTTGTGGGAAAAATATTATTATAAATGTTTACGTAATACGGTTAACACGAAGCTATAAAGTTATTAATAGCAATAAAAACTTAACTATTAGAAAATTACTTGGTTGATTTCTATCAAATTAAATTGCACTACCTTCAAATAGTAATAGTATCTTTATTGATCAATAAACCGCGCGCGCTCTTTCAGTAATTAAATTAATTACAAGATTTGCCAATTAGCTGAAATGTTTGCGTTCACTGTTTTAATTAATGAATGTGTGTCGTATTAGGTTCGGATACAATCTGAATCGAGGCCCGACGGTAATTACCGACGTCTACAAAATCCATCGAATTCAACGTAATCGCTGAGAATATTACGGCAGTGAACTTAATTGTTCCCGACTTAATTAATTAAGCTTTTGTTTGAAACTAACAGCGAAGTGTAGAGTTGGCAATTCTAAATTGGATCTTGTAATTACCTTACCCTCCCCCCACCCCTTGTACAGACACTGTCTACTTTCAATTATGGGCGAAGCTTAGTTAATAGAATCAATTATAATTGGGAGAGACAATGCGAAGCCTGTTCTCATACCTTAATTGTGAAACGTTAATTAGTTTGCTCCACGAATATAGCACGTATTAAAGCAATTTTAAGAACTAATTTGATGCTGATGATCCCAAGTGCTATTGTAATTACATAATTAATTGTACTCGTTTTTTTTTTAATTTAAATTAATTTATTTTTTCCTCAAATCGTTAGATAATTTTTATTCAAAGTCAAAGATGAAAACTTTTTTTAATATTTAAAATTTCGTCCAATTATTTTTCATATTAATAAAAGATTAACTTGGTGTTTACTTTTTAACATCACTCAGAAATTATAACACTAATTATTACTGTGTTATTTAATGAAAATACATTATTTATTACAACAAAATTATGAATATGTAATTACGAGTTCGCAAATTCTGTTCTTTTTATATTTCCTTGTAATTAAAGTAATTAATAATCTTGTTACATCATCACTTAATTATTTTTTTTAATTTCTTTCTGACGCATTTCAAGATATCGCCAGTCAGTTATTATTTTGTTTATATGTTACCACGATAAGAAAATCCCAGTATAGTTTTAATTAAAAGTTCTTATCTTCAATTGCTTAATTACGTGCCATATTAAATAAACTTAGCGGCCACGTGATGGCTTTTAAAACAGAACAACGACCTCATAACGTTGAATTAATCGTGACTATAATGGTTAATTATAATATTTACTTATTCATAATATTACAGACGCATTTAATGATATTAATATTTGACTGAATAAATTAAACATCTAGATATAATGCGTACTATAGGATATTAAAAAAAACAACGGACAGTGTATTAGTCTATCTACACCATGGAATACCGAATGGAATACGTTTTAAAAAACATAAAATTTTACAATATCATTAACTGTCATGTGACCAAAGAACGATTAAATAGACTGTTAATCTAAAATCAGTATCCAAGATTTTTTTTATAATTTAAATAATCGATCTGTCAAAGTCAATAAAAATTTACCAAACCTACATAAGTTTTCTATAAAACATTTTGGGTTAGTTTAATTTTGGCATTGTTACATTGTTAGTAAGGGCAAAGTACATGATTATCGATAAATTTGTGAGCCGTAGACGGACGCCTTCAAGACCTCTGACTTTAATTAAGACACAATAATTAAAATAACAAGCGAGCGCGGTAACTCATTATGCGGAATCGTGTGGCCGCATACGATGTTGCTAATACATGTACTATTTTGTAACTTTTTTTTCAAATAAAAGGCAAACTGCCAGTAAATTTAGTGACTATGGTTTAATTAACGTATTAAAAAAATAATAATTATAACTTTACTAAAAAAACTTTTAGACTCTAGTATTACAAGTAAATAAATCTTCGTTTTTTTTGTACTTCGGCATTTTTACGGTACAAAAAAGTTAAATACTTAAAATAAATCAGACCATTGTAATGGTACTACTATTTTTACTGTTCTTTACATAATATTATTATAAAGAAAATAAGGTTCAAAAGGAATTAAATATAAATATAATAGAGTAAATAATCTTAGGTGTACTTATTTATAGAGTTTAAGTACGATAGTTTATAATAGAAAAAAGTGTTAAACTTACCAGTTATAGGAAAACTCCTTGACGTCCAAGACAAACACAAGCGATAAATCTTTCAGACAACTTTGTCTTTTACACTTACACACAGAAATGTTTTTAATGGGCACACAACTAAATTTTCTTGTCCACTTCAATTGTCACTTTCAGCAGGATTTACGGCTGTAATCGTTTCCAAATAACAACAGACTTAACAATGTTTTTATTTTAATGCATTAATAAAACGAAAATAATGTTAATAATACAATTAAAATTCAAGAATAAATATATTGTGAAAGATTTCATACAATGAAACGTTTCAATGTATGAAAATATGTGAAAATCGAGTAAAGTTTGCGTATCCAAGAGACAGCGCGAACGCGTGCACACTGAGTAGAAGCTCACGGCGGAATGAGCCGACGAGCAAGCGACGAGTGCAGCCGCGGCGCCAGGAGCCGAGGGCGGGCGCCCGAACACGGGGTGGAACGGAACAACACTTTAATATAATGATGGGCTCGGAACACTAATGCTCTAATTGGAAACGTAATCGCGCTACACTAGAAAAAAGTCCAATCTTCAAATTGGCCGCGCTTCGTCGAATCAGATATCGGAACCGATCAGAATTATGTGGGAATCGATAATAAAGACGATCGGTTCTGTATCAAGTCACACTACATAGGTAAGAAATATCAAAAACTCTTTCCCGGTAGTGGATTCCGGCCTAAATTCAATTCCGCCCCTTTCCTCCGCACCCCTTTCGGAAACCAATCTTCTTTACATTCCCTCGCCGACAAATTTATATTCCTCCATGCGTCCTCCCCGCTGGGAGCGGACCGTTCGGTTGGACCGCGAACGTCGCAGTTCCGTACATGCGGTGTAAACCACTGACTTGTGAATGGTTATGCCGCGGTCAACGGATTAGGAAAGAATCGCGAGCCGCGCGATGCGATGATCATGCACCGACGTTGAGAATTGCAGATAATAATTTGCAGAGTCCGCCCCCCGGCCCCCGGCGCCATTGTCCGCTCAGTATTTCATTACGGCTGGAGCTTTTCTATTAATAAATCACTCTTCGCCTGCGCCGTTTAATTACGCGCCGGATCTGGCGCAGGCCGACGTCTGATTACACTTTCATCGAACATCTAATTAGGAGTGCAGGCGGAGGGGCGCGGCGCGGGCGTTAGGATTGCAAGGGAACGTATGTATTCTTTGTTCTGCAGATATTGCGGCCGGCCGCTATTGCTGCGCGCCCGCCTGCCGACCAAAGTTCGGAATGAACGAACTTTGATTAAAACCGACCGCCTACATTACTCCAGACTTAATACCATCCTCGTTTTATTACTGACACAAAACCTCTTTAAATTTTAAATTAAATTAAATGCCATGTAAAGCAATTAAATGTTACAACTTAGTTCAATATCGGATAGAATATAATTAATCAATGAATACATACCTGCTGTGTGTTGTCACACTAAAAGAAAGGAATATTCGCTTTTTATATTTCAAGAGCAGTAATGGAAACTTTATATCTCTAACCTATTTACTTAAAATAAGTAAGTTCTTGTATTTGGCATTTTTATATAATAAAAATAAAGTAGATGTATGTACCTATCTAAAAGGGTATCTTTTTAATTCAATTACAAAACTGATTTTATCAATACTGTATCTGCAATAAATCTACGTGAACGTTATGAAAATCACTGATCATAATTTATTGGTAGATAGCATAGATAGCGTAGTTTATAGTGTTCGGACGAAATCCATTTGCCGCGTGGCCGCGCACTGTTGACAACCCTACATTGTTGCTCAAACCCCATTAATGGAACCCTAATGGCGTTTCCTTTTGAAGGACAAGCGCAATAATTAGTGGTTTTCAAAACCGAGTGCCGTGACGACATAACAGATTCCATCAGCCCATCTCCACTCCGTCTCAATTGTATATAAGAAAACTATTGTTGATGTAAGTTTTCTAGTTATAGTTTTCTAACTCCCACACTATTAGTAGTTAAACTAAGTTTATCAAATCTCTTAGTAAAAATATATATGTGTGAAATTGTGTAAAAAGTGTTTACGAGTCTGCAGTTACAAATAGAAGGATTATACGGCATTTCTGGTCAAAATCACGCACATTGGGAATGTCTAAATACTTACGTATTTCTCCAGCACCGGTGTTTAGCCGTTTTAAACTTTCCGTTTGAAAATTTATCGGTCTGTTTTCCATGTGCGAATGATGAAGCTTTGAAAGATAGGCGTTCGGTTACTTTAATGAAAACAAAGCATGGTCAAGCCGAAGATCTGTTGAAGTGAGAAAGTGAGTCGAGTGCGGCTAGCGAGTGAGTCGGTCGTTTCGCCTTACTGACTCAAGACCTTTTTTAATTTCCTGAAGGGGCGCGGGCGGCAGGCGCCGGGCGGCGAGCGCGGACTTGGGCGCGCGGAAAGCGGGTAGCGGGCAGCGGGCCCGTTTAACTTATTGCCACGGTTAACGAGAATACGCCGCTGTGTGCCGGCGAAATTGAAGGATTTACTTCGCGTCCCTCCTTTATTAAACGTATTGCACACACCGACGCCCCGTGTGTGTGTGCCCAACTACACGCATGGCGAAATTACATTTCACATGACTCGTAATAACAAGGGTGGGCGTAAATCACGGGCATTATTAGTTTCTCCCGTTACTCATGCCATTTGTCACCTACGAAAAGGTGTTGTACATACATACATTAAAAATTACCATGATAATTAACTAGATGGACATCTATCAACGAGTCAAGTCTACAAGCACACGATGTCTGAAAGAATGAACATATAGCCTCTTACAAATCAATTCAATCTTCCAATCAATGCATAGAGATTCACCATTTTGTAATACGACAACAGTATCAAAATCAATAATGCCTTATCGAATAAGGGAAAGAAGAAACAAGCAATAGTATAATATAAACAGTATTACAGGGTGTAAGCTGTCCCGCAGTCCGCCGCGCGGCGGACTTCCTGCAAGCTAAGCGTATCGCTTAAAGTTTCGCAATATACGCGCACAGAGCCCGTCCTTTATTAAAAACTATTCTCACATTTTTAATTAAAACTTGTGTTCCCCCACTAAAACTTTATTTAAGCAATAAAGGCTGTGCAATTAGCGGCTCTGTCCCCGCCGGCGACTTTACCTACTTTTCCTCAGCTTTAATGAGTGTTTTTTAATAAAGCCCGAGACTGCTGCAAGTTTATTAATTTAGTTTAACTCGTGTCACGCGGACCTCCACCGCTACCCGGTCCCCGCTACCCGCGGACGACATACCTACTCTTTTTATTATATCCTAAATCACTTCAGCTTACACGTAAAGCCATTTAATTAAGCCGACATAAAATGTCATTATGTGACATTGCAATACCACTAAAATTCTTGCCATATTGAAAATAAATTTAATTTAATCACAATATAATCGAGTGTGGCAATGAATACGCAATATACTTATGGCCAATTTAAATGCGTGACCTGTTTACATTTCCATATGAGGGGAAAAAAAGAAAATGAGTCAATTTTAAAACTCGATTAAACATTTCTGAATTAACCAACAGTAGTAGAACCTGTTGTTAATAATTTCCTTTAAAATTTAAATGGCAACGAGACTTGATCAAAAAATGAGTGCTCGACAGTTTTGAGAAATTTAATGTAATTGCTTTTTAAATTATAAATGATCGGAAACTTAATAAGTAGTAAGAAATAACAGTTATTTTTTGAACAATAGTTGGTAATACTAGCAAAGTTTACGTATAAATTTACATTTGTAGGATTTCGAGTTTGTACCCCTTTTTGAAAAATTTTAGAAAATATGTTACGTTAATGTGTCCCGATATTTAAATAAATCCTCTTTTATACCAATTAAAATAATTGTTTACGCGTAGTTTCGAATGATGAAATCGATATTATCAAAAAGTTTGGCAGCACATCAAGAGAGCAAAGTGAAGATCGTTGTTGGAGTGCGAAGTAAAAGCCTGAATGACGTGGGGAGCGGTTGCAGACGGGCCCCTCCAAGTGTTCCGGCCATAATTACATTCCCGTGTCTAACAAATGGAGAATCGGTGTTGATTTGTGTTTAGCGAAGCCCACGCGACCCGGGCCCGCTGCCCCGCTCTGAGCCGGGACACCGCCGCCGCCGGCCTTCGACAGAATTAGTTAAGACATTGTTAGCTCCGCTCTGACCCGATGCGCTCTTTATTGGAGCCGTTCGACGAATATTTTATCAGTTTGCTTCGTACTGTCTGAAAAGAAATTAATTTTAATCACAGCTCAAGACAATTTTTTATTATACCAGTATGTGTTATTTTTATTCAGTTTATTAAAGTTGTGTGAACTATTAGCAATTTAAATTTTGGCAAAGTAATAAACTATACCGTTTGAGATATTACCGTTTTACTACCTTATATCTATACTTACGTTTATTCCTATGTGATACAAGAAAAAAAATATATAAATAGGGATCAGTGCATGTGCCAGTTACATCTTCCAAAAAGCATGATCCTAGAATGACGTACACTGCAATAGAAAAAGCATTTTCCAAATGCATACTATAAAAATCTAAATTGGCGCATATAGCTGGGGTCAGTAATTGCTCGCATACAAACTAAGTGTAAAACGAAGCACTCGACTGGTCGGCCTAAAAGCTTCGCGGCAGATTGAATCACCACACGGATTTTCCATTACCCCTGCTTTTCGCGTGTGCGCTGCTATACTACTGACTACTGACGTATTGACATTCCTTTACTATATGTATAACTGTCGCCCGCGACTACTTCCGCGCGGAATTAAAAATAACCTAATATAGCCTATGTCTTCTTCCAGACCACCTTCTATATGTATGCTAAATTTCTTCAAGATCCGTTCAGTCGTTCTGGAGATACCTTCAAACAAACATCTAAACATTCGCATTTACAATATTAGTAAGATTACTTTATATTTTGCACAATGTAATACATACAATGTTGAAGTATATTAATTAACGACCATACTCTTCACCTGCTCAAATATGTATAGAGCTAGAAAACTATACGACTTATAAGTAAATCCATGACTTTTATGGCCGCGTAATTTTCTTTTAGCTTGAAATTGGCCATTAGACGTACTAACTCCTAGATATTCTTATCGTTAAGCTACTCAGTATCGTAACAGATCCAAACACATTAACATCCAGCAAGTAACACTTCTAGGAGCTTATTAAATAGCACATCGGAGGCACATAGAGATGGGCAATAAAAAAGAAGACGGCGCCGGCGACTAGCGACTACTAAGTATCAGTTTCACGGCTGTAGCATCGTTTGCGCAATGGTTCACACGAAACTGGCGAACAGTCGTTAGACCGGTCGTATATCCTCGGATAAACGCGAATATTGGCCCCGCTAACAATG